ATGACCGTCGCGGCCCCTTCTGCAATTCCAAAGGCCTTTGTGCCGATTACCGCTTTCTTCTCCAAAGGGCCAGCCAAAAAGAGGTTGAAGAAACCTGTGAACGCCTTGGCTCGAACCAAAGCCACGGACTTTTTGGGGAGTAAAGAGGATGACCTCCCTGAGGCAGTATTGGAAAAGCTGCCTCCGAAAACTGTTGCCGCCACCCGAGTCCACAATAAATACTGGATTGAAGACTAGTAAGATCACGCCGCCTCGTGCGAGATAGAGGACGTACTGGCCGCCAACAATGCTTGCATGGCCAGAGCATTGAGAATGGGCACGGTGGCGAAAGACCTAGTTCAAGCCCTTCACAATTAAAATGAGGAATTAGAGCGAAGGGTTGAGGCCTCGAGCAACTGGGAAGCTGAGGTAGAGAAGGCAAAAAAGGGGGCAGAGGAGGCAGATGAAAAATGGATCGTGGCCACATCGAAACTGGACTCAGTTGAAATCTAAGTTAATCAGCTAAAGAATGAGCTCCATAAGTCAGTTTCCCAGGTAGCAGCTTGGATAAAGAAGGTTTATCTGGCCAATGACGATCAGAGGATCGTCTCGGAAGCCCTGGTGGAGGCCAATAAGGAAAAGGCTAAGCTAAAGATGCTCTCCGAAGCCCAAGCGGAGGAGATTGAATCCTTGAAGGCCGAAGTGAAGTTGGTAGGAGAGGCAGCGGTCCAGAACTACAAAGATAACTTCGATCAAACGTCGGGGTATGATGACTTCACCAACTACTAGGCTTCATAGAGTGCCCAAAAGATCATGTCTCGTCTGCGAGAGAGGCATCCGGAGCTGGACATCGCCTCCATTGAGGAGGAGTTCGGTGCCCCTACCAGGGGAAGGCCAATGGCCGAGGAGGAGGTCCTTCAGAAGGAGGAAGTCAGGGCGGGGAGATTGTAAATGTAGATTAGGTCTTTGTATTCTCCTATTCTTTGTAATCGGCTTCAGCCCTATTTTGTAGTTAATGAAATTTATTTTCTTCCAAGTGTTGTCGCTTCATTTCAATTGGTAGAGCAAACAAATAACACTTAGTTTTAAATTAATCGCATCGGCAAACCCTAACCACTTAAAAAAATGGAAGAAACCAATGAACTTGTTAAGTATAATCGCATCGATAAACCCTAACCACTTAAGAAAATGGAGGAAACCAATGAACTGTTTAAGTATAATCGTATCGGTAAACCCTAACCACTTAAGAAAATGGAGGAAACCAATGAACTGGTTAAGTATAATTGCATCGGTCGACCCTAACCACTTAAGAAAATGGAGGAAACCAATGAACTGGTTAAGTATAATCGCATCGTCAGGAAAAGCCTCCGTGCCCTTATCGCAGAGGGTGCGCTTTGGCGTCCCTGGGGAATTCTCATCTCGTCAAGACTGTTTTAAGCGTTTCATCAGGGATGGTATCTTCCCCATCGTTGATCGGCTAAATGTTCATGGTTGAGATGATCGTGTAAAAATGAAGTGGAAATAGATAAGTTCACTCATTTGATTGAAATATTTACATAAGTTCTTACAATCTCCTTACTGGTAGTACTTCCTCAAATGTTCCACATTTTAGGGATGAGGCATCAACTTGCCTTCCAAATTTTCGATCTTGTACGTGCCAGGTCATGGGAACATTTTTCCTTCCCAGTTTAGCCCTAGTACTCATGTTCCTAGTTCCTTCGATGATGGGAACACTTTACGGAGAACCAAGTCACCGATGCGAAAGGCCCTCTTTTTCACTCTGGCGTTGTAATAACGCATCATCTTGCGTTAGTAGGAGGCGAGCTTGACTTGAGAATCATCATTCTTTTCCTCGAGGAGTTCAAGCTCGAATCGTCTCAGCTCGTCGTTTTTTATTTCGTTAAAGTGGATGCGACGAGGTGAAGGCACCCCAACTTCCAATAGACTCATGGCTTCGACCTCATACGTCATGGAGAATGGGGTCTTCCCAGTCGTAGTTTTGCAGGTGGTTCGTATGGCCCAAAGGACTTGGGGAGCTCATTAACCCATGCCCCTTTTGAAGCATCCAACTTTCTTTTCAAGGTGAGCTTGATGGTTTTGTTCACTGTCTCGACCATCCGTTAGCTTGGGAGTGGTAAGGTGTCGAGAAATGCTTCTTGATGCCGAGCTCATTGCATAGGTCCTTGACCTTCTTGTTGTTGAATTACTTACCATTGTCTGAAACCCAAGACTAGGGTATGCCGATTCTACATATGATGTGCTTCCAAATGAACTTCGAAGTGTTCACTTCAGTGATTTTCGCCAATGGTTCTTCTTCGACCCACTTGGTAAAGTAGTCAATCGAAACGATACCAAAACAGGCGTTTTCTCTTCCCCTTGGCATTAGGCCGATAAAGTGCCCCCTACCTAACACGACCGTGAGCTCCTACGAGGGCTGCTTTTGCACATTGGAGAAGCTCTGGCACTTGTCACACTTGCGTACGATCTAAATCGAATCCCTTTTCAGGGTAGGCCAGTAGTATCCCTGTCTGAGTACCTTATGGGCCAGAGCAATCCAGAGCGATTACCACAAACCCCTTCGTAGATCTCTCTTAGGATGTAATCCACCTCTTCACCCCCCGTGACCCTGAAGAGAGGTGATGAGAAGTCTCACTTGTACAGGACATTATCTTGTAGGGCGAACTGAGCGGCACACCTCTGGAGGTGACGAGCTTCGGCTTCGTTGTCTGGTACAGATTATTCTTTGAGAAAAGCAATGATCGATTGCATCCAAAGAGGGATGGCCTCTATCCACATACTTCTTCTTTCCTTGTGATGGAGGGTTCGGCCAGGTGTTCTATTGGAACCACATTAAGAAGTTCGGAATCCTTACTGCTAGCCAGGTGTTAAACATATTTTTTATTACTTGAAAAGTAATGTTGATTTAAGATTATTTTATTATCAAAGGTTGTGATCTGCTTTAGTAGGATATGTAAATACGTGTCTAAATCACAAACAGGATATGTGCTTACACATGGAGGAACGGATATATCATGGAGATCCGTTAAGCAAGCATTTACACCAACATCTTCAATTAATTCTAAAATTACTGCAATCCACGAAACAAGTCGAGAATATATATATAGCTGAGGAACGTGACTCACTTTATCCAAGCACCATACAGATTAATGTTAACAAAAGATAGTATAACAATTTTATATAAATATAATACAGTTTATATTGTACAACTAAAATGAAGTTATATCAAAAGCGACATGACGAAACATATTTCTCCATAATTTTTTTTATACACATAAGCTTAAGAAGAACCAACATTGATGTCCAACAAATTCGCTCAAGTAACAATGTAGCTGATTTATTCATAAAAATACTTCTACATCTACATTCAAGAAATTGGTTCACGAGATTGTAATGTGTCAATTCAAAGATTTTCAGATATCAACGTCAAGGGAGTAGCTGCACTATTTTTTCTTCGCTTAGATCTTATCCCACGAGATTTTCCTAACAATGTTTAAATGAAACAACAGTTATTTTTAATATTTCAAAATAATTGTACTTTCTTTCCTTCGTTTGATTTTTTGTCTCATTGAATTTTTATCAAACAAAGTTTTAACAAGAAAGACGGACCATTATTATCTTTAATACATGGACCGGCAACTATGGAAAAAGAAAAATCTATGACAAGTTGCTTGTTGACATAAGAGCATTAATTAAATCTGAGCCATTTTTCTATATTTTGTTCGCAATTTGACACTTGTTGATTTTGAACTGGAATACTTTTAAGTTTGGAGGACTAGGGATTTACAACGATCTTTTTTTCTTTCATATTTATATTTGTATGTTCAATCACGAATTACAATTCGACATATTTAAATTAAATACATTGTAGATTGGACATGATAATCTATCAATTTTTGTAACAAGACTATCTTTCTTTAGTCTAGTTTAATTTTAAATAGTATAATGTACCATATATATTATTGAAATGTCTCAAAATAAATTGACATGATTATATTTTCTGCCCAAAATATAATTTGTATTAGCGTGTATGATGAGATAACATGTGATTATAATTTGAGGCAGATGAGAAAAGCAAAAGGAAGATAACATGTTCATTACATTCACACCCGAATTTACTGTTTGAAATGTCTCGTAAGGATTTCTAGTATTCCATATTTTTCCTTGTTACTCCTAAATGAACCTAAATTTATACCACCGACTCTTGTTTTTTGCAGCTGTAACTGATATAGATACCAGTGGCATTCGTTCCCTGGAAGATTTATATAAGAGTCTACAAACGATTGAATATGAACACTACACATTACTTCTTACGTCTTCGATATATGTTCGGTATATTGGACTGGACATAATAAGACATGATATCATGTCAATTCCAGCAAATCAAATATGCCATTTCTGATGTGCATTCCTGCACAGATCGTTCCAGCAAATCCAGGGCAAGTAGTGCTTGACAAACTCCATGCATCGGATTTTACGAACAGATTGAAGATGACAAAATCTTACTCACTGTTGCGGTTGCCACTCGAGTTTTGCTTCCAAGATGGAACCTTGAGATCTTTCTAGTCGGCCAAACCAGTAATATTTAAATTGCATTCCATTGATTATCGGTATGTCTGAGGAATCTTGATTGAAGATGGTGAAATATCAAACTCATGGAGAAGAGTGTAGAGTTGGCTTTTATGTTGAGAAACTTTTTGAAATGTATAATACCTTTTATTTTCTTGTTAATTTTCTTACTATATGGTTCTTTTTGTCGTGATTTCTCTGTCGATGAATCAAAATATTTGTCTAAAAGTATATGAAATAAAATTAAGGTACATCAAATATTCAAATTAGGAACTTGCTCGATAATAGAATAACAAACATCAATCCTACTTATCCACGTCTCAAATCCAAAAGGCCTAGCAACAATATAGAATGCCGGATTAGTTAATGCAAAACACACATGATAAGAGTCCCTCTTGGGATCCATTTCCATCTGTAAATCGAGTATCGAATGATCAGAAGATAGCAAGTGATGCAGCAACTACCATGGTGAGGAAAAACATTCCCAAGGAGATGATGAGTCCACAAGAACCAGAGCTTCCGGCAGCCGGTGTAGGAGCAATTTCATTAGCAACAATACCAGTACTTGGAGCACCAGCGACTGAGCTAGGAGGCAATGGCAATGGAGAAAGAGCTGCAAACAAAAGGAATATACTCATCTTAAGAAATTTGTAAACTCTTAACATACTAGGCGAATGTTTGACTAAGCATAAAAGTTACTTTTCTAGAAAAGTACGTCAATTTTCTGAATTTGCAACCTTGGATTAACACCATTTTCAGTTATGTACACACATTTTTTTTCCTACCTAAAGATGACTTGGGTTGATGATAACATTAGTCCCTTCTTCAGCAATTACAATTGAACACCAAGAAAACAATGAAATCACAATTATAATTCGGTTCATTGCTAGAGATATTACATTATCACTGGGTGATAATTTCTAAAATAAGATCATATCAAAGTAGATAAAAATATGATGAGATCTGTGTGTACCTGGAGCAGCACCAGTGACAGAGCCAATGCTCACTGTACCAAAGAACAAAATACAGAAAAACCATGTTAATACAAATGTGTTATTTTCAAAATCATGATTTCTTCTTCCTGGAAATAGAATAAAATGAAAAATACGGTGTCAAATTTGCAAATTCCCAGAAGTTAAAACAAAAAAATGAAAATAATAGCAGAAGAGAACGGGAACTCACAGCCACAGTTACTAACAGAAGGCGCAGAGACATGGCATTCAGAGGGCAGAGCCAAGGCTTTAGTGACATTGAGAGTGACACCAAATTGTGCACTATTTTTAAAGCCTTCACAGAGACACTGAGGGTCTGTTTTGAGCACAGTTTTGAGGCCAGAACAACAAGTTCCTTCAGGCTTCTTTGTAGTGCTCCCAGCGGTCACAAATGACAGGCAGTCCGCCATGTTGAGCACCAAACTGGAGCAATCCACGGCGGGTGCCGGCGCCGCGGAGTAAGCTGTGGTGAAGAAAGTTGCACAGGCACAGAGCATGAACATGCAGAAGATTGGGAATTTGGAGAACAATGCCATTGTAGGGAGGGAGACTTGACTGACTGTAGAGTGTAGTTTAGGAGAAAATGAAAGTCTAGAAAAGGTGAGAAAATTTGAAGGTTGATGTGGGCTTATTCTTATTTATGGGTGGAATTTACGGGGTGGTGAGGGTACTAATGATGGGATCGAGTCGCATGCGATGGTAGGGTTCTCCGAGTTTGAGTTTAATTCAGAGATCAAAGGGTAAACTCTCGAGTCGATTCTTTTATTATTTCAAAGCTAATTATGTCCTCGGACAAGTCTATTCTTATAGAATAAAATTTGTAAAAAATGATTTTTGAGAATATAAAAAAAAATTGTGTTTACGAATAATATTATTTTATTAAGATAATGTATAATTAAAAATGAGTTCTAAGGAAAATAAATTTCAATGGATGGTGATATATATGATTAAAAAGTTATGAATCAAATTAAATATGCAGTTAAAATTAATTGTTTACTTTGACTAAAATTAAAATTTAGATTTTATGCATAGGAAAATTTGGAGAATGGAAACATTTTCTTCTGTATGAATCGATCATATTCCATTACAATTCCTTCACGATACCTCCCAAAGAAAATATCGAATTGAATCGATCTTATTTCATTCCAATTTCTTCCCGATAACTCCCAAGGGAATAATTGTCACCGTTACTATCTCTACATAAAAAGGTATCATCATAGATTAAATTCACTCTACACAAAATAAAAATAAATCAAATTTAGATTATACGTTGTTAAAAGAAGAAAAAAATATTGATGCACACGAAATACTATAATAAATTAATTCTCTTATAACCCACTTTGAAATTTGAATCGCTCCCGTTCTTTAGTAGCGAGTAGCAACGGAGGAAGGTGGGTCATTGGCTCCACTAAAATGTGACGTATGTTATTTTTATATTATTATATGTTGTTTTTAAAAATAAATTGCAGTCAATTTTTTCTGTTACGATTTACGAATTTGACTTCGTCACTATTTTTCATTTTCATCTATATTTTCACAGAGGGCTGGAAATGGTTTGATTCGGTTCGCTTCTCCTCAAAATCGAATGGAATCGAAATTTTCGGGTATTTAGTAAGTGGAACCATCGGATCCAAATTTAATTATGGAACCGTTCAAGTTCGATTCCATTCAGTTCGATTCGGTTCTCGGGTTCTGTATAATAATTATTTTTTTTATATTTACAACATTACATTAATTCAACTATGATATGTTCAATTTTAACTCTTACAAAATAACGTAATTCAATATGGTGATATCCTTTGCACATTTTTTGTTGAGTTTTTCATAGATTTGACTGTAACAAGAAGAGGGAGATAGCGAATTCACAATAATAGAATGGCAAAAAGACACTAAGGTAGAATAAGAAATTTGGGTAAAATTTTAAGTCAATTTGATTAAGTTGGTCTTGGCTGAAAATTAAAAATAGTAAAATCATATTTTAGATTTGAGTTAAATTAATTAGTTAGCAAATTCATTTAGAAAAAAATAAAATAAATTGACTTATTTAAGATATAAAAAAAACTAAGAAAATTAGGAAGATTCGGTTCTTATTCGTTTTTTCGGTTCTTGATCTAGACCGAACCAAACTCGTCGGTTCTCGATTTAGAAACTCGTTTGGGTATTTAATTTAAGAAGAATCTCTCGATTCAGTTCGGTTCAGCTCAGTTCAGGTCCGATTCGATTCGAGAGTTTTGTCCAACTCTATTTCCACGTTTCATTGTGAAAAATATCATTTTTATCTAATTTCTCAATAAAAATATATGAATTGATGAATATACACTCTTATTTAAATGAAAAACAAAAATAAAAATAAAGAAGTAATTGCAGTCATAATCCAAAACCTTTTTAAAAGGTGCAAATGACTCACAAATAAATTAAAAAAAAAATTTCAAAATAAAATAAAATATCTCCCTCTATCTCCCTCCCTCTCTTCTCCCACCTCCATTGAGTCGCCAATGTTTGGGTTTGTATTTTTTCAACCAATAGGGAAATTGTTGGAGTATATTTTTCGAAATTATTTGGTGGTGGTGGAGGAGGACGAGGGGGAGAAAGAAAAAGATTTTATTTTATTTAGATTTTTTAAATAATTTATTGGATGTTGTTTGTACTTTTTAAAAAGGTTATAGGGTATGGTTGCAATTAGTTCCTTATTTTTATTTTTGTTTTATTTAAATAGGAAGGTATATTTGTTATTTCACGTGTTTTTATTGAGAAATTAGATAAAAATTGATAAAAATAACGTTTTCCACAATGAAACGTGAAATATGGATGAAAATGCAAAAAATTAAAATGTGGAGACATTTTACACACTAAAGACCAAATGTAGAAACGTTTTATGCTAATAAGTCTAATCCCGAATATGCATACATGTACAATTCTACTATTTCTTTAGCGTCGATATACTTTATCTATTCGTACTTGGCTTTGGCGTCGATATACTTTATCTATTCGTACTTGGCTTTGTATCTTCATGCTAGGTAGCTAACAGCTATGATTTTGATTGATGGATCCCATGAGACCAAAATTGTGATTAATGGTGTAATGGTCCACCCCCAAAATGAGAATCTTTTATTTCTCCATCTCAACATAGGTAACTTTGTCATACACCCACTTCTTTTAATCATTGTTTTGCTAATTTTTTTAGTCAAAATCGCCTAATATCATTTTATGGACTCCACTAGAATTAAATGACCCCTACAAAGAATACCTTTAACATGATTAAGATTTTCTTTTAACCTTAAAAGATGTTAAAAAGTAATATTCAAATGTTTGAAAATTTAGAAGACGTTGGTATCTAATGATCACTAGAGATTGATGTATCTTTGAAAGCTTAGAAAGAGAAAATTCATGACACCCCGATGGTTACTAAAGCCAATTTAGGGTAATTCAAATGCTTTTATAACTTAACGACCAGAATGTTCTACGTCGAACTTATACTCCTTCAAGTTGGCTATGGAGAACAAACCTTAAGGAATAATTTTTAATTGTGAAACGATAAGACATGTCTATACAATAATGAATTACCTATAAAAAAAACGCCAATGTGATTACACCTTTTAAAACGGAAAAGGGGTTTCAAGAAAGGCCATTCGTAAAAGCGTGATTTGTTATGATTTGTGTAAGTGGTCTTGAGGGCATATTTTGATCTAAAAGCGTGGTTGGAGAAGGGCCCTCAAGATATATGCCACCTTTCGGTGTATTGCCTTGAAATTGATAAAGTGCAACTTTTGTGTTAATCACCATAAAGTATTCTCATGCTCCAATTTTTATATTTATATATTTTCTATTCCTTATTTCACGCATGCAATTGCTTTGAATAATAATATTCCTTGGCAAGCCAGGAAACTTTTCATTCAATAATGCAAACAATTATTAATAATTATTAACACACGACACTACAGAGAAAAATCACGGCATGAAAAGAATACGCAATATCGATGAATTTACGGATCTTGATTGTTACATAACATGAAGTTAATAGAGCATCCTTGGCTAACCTTAAAAAATTATAATTAAGTTTTAAAATAAATATATTTTTTTATTAATTAATAAAAAGTTGAAAATAAATAAAGGGAAAATTGCAGCCGCGGTCCCAAACCTTTCATTTTGTTGCAAATTACACCCAAACCTTTAATTTCTGTAGGAGAAGTCTCAAACCTTTATATGTAATTGCAGCGTCGGTCCCAAACCTTTGTATGTAATTGCAGCGTCGGTCCCAAGCCGTGAATTCCGTCCGTAAAACCGTTAGTCAACGTTGAAACAGTAATTTTGACTCGAAAAAATTACA